ATCAGCACTCACAGGATGCTGAGCTGGCAGCTCTGGAGCTGCTCTGGCAGGTGAGGATGAGCTGGGCAGAGGCAGGACTGGGACAGAGGGTTCACTGCTGTCTCCTGCTCGCCCTCAGCACCATTCCCAGAGCCCACACAGATTAGAAATGGGAAAAACTGCTCCAGGGAAGCAGCTGAGCATTCCCAGGAAGGAGAAATGGGAATCCTACATATTCTTAACACCAAAATACTTCTACCAACCAAAGACTCGAAGCCAGGCTGACATTTGTCACCCCCTTCCCCACATTCCCCACGTCCAAGACATCAGACCCCCCACTCCAAACACACCCCTCTGTCTCCACACAAAGCCAGTGGTGTTTTCCAACTGAATTTCATACTGGAATGTTTATTACAATTAAATTCTTCTTGGCAAGCATCAATCACCCAGCCAGGAACATCTTGCACACAGAGTTTTTCTTTAAAATCAAATCCACTCTCTCTAAACACCCCCCAACGTTTTCTGCTCTGGAGATTTTGGGGCAATTCACAGCCTGTTATTATTTGCCTTGTTGGGCCTTGCTCCTGAAAAACCAGAGACTAAAAGCACTCTCAGGTGAGCCACTCTCACTGCAGACAGACAGCAAAGCACGTTCCAAATTCCAAATTTTGCATCCAAAATCCAACCCAGTGAAACGTCCCAATGGTTCCTCTTTGATGGGTGTCATGGGCTGTGCACCAACACCAGCAAAATTCCACCCTCTCCCCTAAAAAACTGGGGCAAAACCATGTTCCACTCTGCTCCCATTTGAGCTCACATAAAATATTAATTTTATTAATTAATTCAGATCCCTCCTGTTCCATCTCAGAGCCCCCTCAGGAGCCCAAAGGTCCGTCCAGAGCCACACACGGGAAGAAACTCCAAGTTTTGCTTCTGCTTTGAGAAAAACCTGATGGAAAGATGGATGGACCTAAAGGATTCCCCTCCTGCCAGAGGGAAACTCTGACACACCAACCCTAAACACAGCCACTGGAACACAGACCCAAAAATCAGTGGTACAAGCCCAGCACTGTCACGATTTTTCTGCAGGGACAACTGAATAAAATTCAAATAGAAAGAGAAAGAGATTGCTGCCACCTCTGCAGGCTTTCTAAAAAGTCTTTTTGGTGCTGTTCCTTATCCCTACTCCTAATTTTACAGCAACATTAACTCAGTTTTCCAAGTTTGGACACTTTTCACACTAAAAGGCACCCGAAGCCTGTCACTGAGCAGCAGAAATACAGTATATATTCCATATAAATATTCCATATAAATATTCCATACACACCCCCCAGTCCCCTCCAGGCCACTCTGAGGAGTTAGTAAATGCTTGGGAGCAGAGCACTGGGAAGAATTGATGCAGTAATGGAGAGGGAAGAGAGGGAAAAGCACCACGACAAAGTTTTTAGAGATTACTGGAAGTCAAATGAAATGTTCAAGGAGATCATTTATACGAAAGACAAGCGAAGGAGGAGTCAAAAAACTTACACACTGATGTCTTCTGGTTGTTGTCCTTGCTGGGCATGAGCTTCACCCCCCTGGACTTGAGCTCCATTTGCTTTTTGACTGCAGGGACAGATGGAAAACAGAGGGAAGACAAGGAAAAGGTTTAGCTGAGCATCAGGGATTAGTGAAAAAGAAAATGAAGCGACATTTGTGCATCAACCACCCCCTGCATCCTTCCCTGGTGGCTGAAACAAATCACCCTGACCCCCCAAACCAGGAGGGACCCTTTAGTTCACCATGTTAGGGCTGGATTGGTGTCCTGAGAGAGCTTTTATTTAGGGTAAAAATGGGATCCAAGCCCACCAACCCTCTGCAACCACCCCATGAACACACCACAAATGGGAGAGAGGTAAAAGGGAAGCCCTGAGAAACTCCAGGGATCCTGAGAGGGAAATGCCCAGTGAGTTCCAGCCAGTTTTCCTGATGCAGTTTTTCCATGGATACATGGAAAGCCATCACACAGCAAAGCCACCCTCTGCTTCCATAACCCAAAAACTCTAAATATGTCCTGGGGGAGTGTTAGGATGAAAAAGGCAGTAAAATAGCAGGGAAAAAACCCACAAAACCATATTATTGGTGAAGAGAAGGGTAAAACCACTATGGACAGCCACAGGAAGAGCTGGATGGTGACTGGGCCCAAGGTCCAATGGGAACAACCTCCCAGCAGGAAGCACAACATCCAAAATCCTTTCCAGGAGCCTTTTCCTGGAGAAAACCAGCCCATCTCCCACTTCAAATTGCTCTCCCCTCTTTATCTTTATCTTGTCATCCCCTGGTGGCTGAGACAACTCACCCTGACCCCCCAAACCAGGAGGGACCCTTTAGTTCACCATGTTAGGGCTGGATTGGTGTCCTGGGAGAGCTTTTATTTGAAGATAAAAACGGGGTCTGACTCCCCCATCCCTCTGCAACCACCCCATTAACACACCACAAATAGGACAGAGGCAAAAGGGAAGCCCTGAAAAACTTTAGGGATCCTGAGAGGGAAATGCCCAGTGAGTTCCAGCCAGTTTTCCTGATGCAGTTTTTCCATGGATACATCACACAGCAAAGCCACTCTCTGCTTCCATAACCCAAAAACTCTAAATATGTCCTGGGGGAGTGTTAGGATCAAAAAGGTACTAAAATAGAAGGGAAAAAAAACCCACAAAAACATATTATTGGGTAAATCCACTATGAACAGGCACAGGAAGAGCTGGATGGTGACTGGGCCCAAGGTCCAATGGGAACAACCTCCCAGCAAGAAGCACAACATCCAAAATTCTTTTCCAGGAGCCTTTTCCTGAAGAAAACCAGCCCATCTCCCACTTCAAACTCTTTATCTTGTCATCCTTTCATCCCTAAATTAGCACGTTCCCGAGACAAAGTTGTCAGGAAGAATTTACCCATGTAAACTAACAAGGTTTTTTTTTAATCATGCCATTTTTTTTTTTTTTTGGCTTAAAAACCAGCCTGTTTGGAACATCTGTTCAGGGGGAGCTTCAGACAGGGAGATGTGGGATTGTCACTCCTTGAAGCTCACCTGGGGCAGTGCTTTGAGAGAGGGAGAGGCTGGATGGGAGCTTTTAATCCATCATTTGCTTACAGCTTTTTGCTTTCTCTTTAAATAAAGCAGGGATAACTTCAAACTCAGCCCCCTGCACCAGCTTCAATAAATATTCATGAGGAAAATTCACATCTTTCTTACCAGCATTGGTATGTTCAGCCTGTGCAGGGGGGGTTGTCTGGTTTTTAATTTAAGAGGAGAAAACTAATTAACAGCAGGGCCACTATCAAAGCAAATCTAACACTTGTTTCTTCTGACTCTAAATCCACCTGCAAATGCAGCAGGAGGGGAGCAGAAGGTTTCAGGATGCCCCAGAGATCCCTGGAAGGGACCTGAACTGCTCAACTCCAGCATTTCCCCGGTGCTGAACATCCCAAATCCAGCAGAAGGGGGTGGAACAAGATGGTCCT